GGTTTTGTGAAAGAAGAGTGTGCCTATCTGGCTGGGCTTGACGTTCCTTTTGATACTTGACATTAGCAGTCACCGACTGGGGGTCAGACGAGCCAAGACTCCCACAACTGCCCTCTTAATACTTCTGCGTTAACTCCCTAGTGAAGTGTATGCCAGGAGACCTCCCCACCAGCACGCCCCAGGCACCCGGGGCACCGAGCACATGCAGCTTCCCCACAGCTGCGCCGTTAGTAACCCAGGCTTAGTTTGAGAGGCTGAGCACTGTAACCTGATTCCCGCTTCTCCCAAACCAGAGTAGATTTCCCAGCGTGGAAAGATTAGAACCCCCTAAATCTTCCCAACCTCTCTTGCTCCACTTCCTCTGGGGATTCAAGCTTGTGAGCCAGGGAAGAAGACGGCAGTGTTCAGCAGGATCACATATGTCCCTAGTTAGGGAGAGGCTCCAACAGCTACATTCCCTGTCTTTGTACCCAGAGCTCCTTAAATAGCCTTTAAAAATAATAGTTCCTTTCCTCTGTTCTTGCCACTTGTATTCTAATAGTGTGCCTATTCGGAGGTACCCGCCTCTGCTGGCCCTTCTCACACATGAAATTCCAGTTAGAAAATTAAGCCTGTTCCAGGAATACTCCTGAAGCTCTGCCGCCTCCAGCTCACGGCCAGCCAATAGCCTAGCCTCTGAGCCTTGGAATGAACTCTACAAGGAAAGGGGTGGGGGGAGTGTAAAATAGTCAAGAATGAAAAGCAGATTGATAGAATGAGAAATAAAAGTCATGTGTAATTTAGATCATTGTTAGCAACCCTGGACCACAGCTGGTAAGTAAATCGCCATTTTCAATTTAAGGTGAAATTCCAGAAATCATAGAAAATGGCTTTTAAAGCATAATGAAATTGTGGGGGGCAAATTGCTACATTTATACTAATGGCAGGCATCATATAAATGCTGATTTAACAGATAAATGACTGAGAGTGAGGCACTTGTGATTTGTAGTCGTTTAAGCAGGCCAAGAATCCATGGATTTTAGAAACGAAGGCATCTGAGAGCGCTATGCCTGGTGTGTGCTTTTCCAGATGGGAGAAGCTGCAGACAAAAACCATGCATTGCCCAGGGTCAGCAAGTCAGGGCAATGGGGACTGCACGCAGCCCTGCATTGCTCCGCCACACCCTCTATCAGGCTGGCCTTCCTCTGACATACCATGAGTGACAGATAAAAGAGGACACACTGGACAGGGGGTGGTTCCCAAAGTCATTGGGCTTCTGTGTTAAGCATTCCCCGCCCAGGGAATGAGAGCACCCCAGCTGACCCTGTCCCGGTGACGGCGCCTTCAGTCTGTCTGAGATGCTGACCCCCTCAGCAGAGCACGCATTCATCTCTCCCATTCACGTGGAAATGGAGCGCCTCGAAGCCAAGCTTATGACTAATAGTTCCTGGCTTAGAACCAACTGGTCTCTGGAGGCTGGCATAGGACTGGGCATTGTTTCATTCCGTTGCACATAAAGTCGCTCTCTCTCAAAACAGACTCAAAGGCACCTAATTAACGCTGTCATGACAGCTGGGATGGCATGGTTTCCTGATGGCATCTGCATTCCTGACCTGGGGGACCTGCCCATTTAACGTAAGCATTGGACTGCTACCCACAAGGTCAGCCGTTCAAACCCACCAGCTCCTCCACAAGAGAGAGATGGGGCTATCTGGGCTCCTAAGGATTTATAGCCTTGAAATCTGGGGTTGCCGTGACTGATGGCAGTGGGTTTGGCTTGGGGATATTGTAAATACCAACAAGGCCCTGATTGGCTAGCGTGCACGTTTTGCACAACGCTCGTGATGAGAGAGAACTCGTGGTCACAAGTCATACGGAAACAAGTGATCAAGCTCTGCTGAAAACACAGGAACAGGAAGGCCCGCGTGAAACACAGACTGTGGCAAACACCTGCTCTGCTCACAGATTACCCGCCGCTGTGTGGGTGCCCTATCCACAGTCAATCCTGAGGCAGCTTTGAATATACCACGTACCTTTGGCCTCCTCTTAACACTTCTTAAACCCATCGTCTCTGCTTAAGCCGTTGATGGGCTCCGATGTCTATTTTCCCATGTGGGTCTACTTTCTGCTTTTAGCAAGTGTGGCTTCCGAATAGTGGAAAATGCTCACCTCCTCCTCAGTGGGCTCGTCCCAGAGGCCAGGGCCTGTGGGGATAGAGGAGTCTTAGGCTGGATGTTGCCTATTTTCTTCGCCTACAGGGAGTTGGGACCCACGTATACTGAATGAAGGAAGTCCTCCAGCTTGGGAAAGTTTCCACAGGAAATCTTCACCCTGTAGCCCACTGGGTGTGTCCAGGTACTTTGACTTTGATAGCTCTTTAATCACCTATTTAAACAAGATGCTAGAAGGGGAGGCCCTGGGGCCGTCACAGCACAGCTCTGCTGTTCTCCCCAGGGAGTGAGAGTCCCCGGGCCGGATCTAGCTACAGAGCATGATCTGTGGTGGTTCATGTCTTACCTAATAGGTGACATGACCAGACCTAACATTTTCCATTGTTGTTTGCTGCTAATGTTCAACTCATAAGAATCTACGTATGAGCTACCTCATAGGGTTTGGGGTTGTTTTTTTTTTGTGGGGGGGGCGTTGGTTTCACTATTGATTGTCAGGTCTATCTCCTGAGGAGCTGCTAGGTGAGTTTGAAAGAGCAGACTTTCAATTAGCAGCCCGGCACTTAACCCTTGTGTCACCAGGTCCCCTTTGCAGGTTCCATTAGCTGGAAGAATGTTCCACTGGGACTGTAGGTAGACCTCTCTGTGCAGGCTGCATGCTCGGGACCTTGCTTAGGCTGCTGCATATAATCCTGACCTTTTAGCAGCTGGCACGGCATTTGTCAGACGGTAGAAACGCAGGAACGATGGCTGTAGGCAGGGTAACGGACTGATGCAAGCTCTCAGAGTGCCCCTGTGACTATCTAACCCAGATCGGTGTGCTTCAAAGCATCTGCTCCCAAGCTTGATGCTCTGCTCGCCTGCGTTCAGATCCTTCCTTGACCTCTGAACTCCACGAGGGTCGCTGCCACATAAAGAATAAGGAGACGGTTGGCATTTCTCACGCTCAACGTGAGCTTCCAACCCACCAAGGTTGACTCCCACCTCATTGAGCACCTTCTAGCCTCGGAATCTCCCTGCAGCAAAATCAGGCACTTCCCCGGCTCCCCTGGAGTGCAGGGTTTAGTTGAGTAGAGAATAACATTTTAATTAAACCATCACAAAGAGACTTGTACAATTAAAAGCCAAGAAGTAGACAGGACCAAGAGACTACCTGGTTCACAGCCCAGCTGACTATGGAGGGGGAAGTGTTCTTAACCTACTTTTCCCTTTGTAATTAAAAAGCAAAAAAAAGATTCAAAATGCCCTTTTTTCCCTCACAGAACTGTGACGTGGACTGAATAAAGTTTTTAAAGCACCCAGACCCTTGGCTGGCGCACCGGGGACGTGCTGTCTTATTGACATTCATTATTACGGACGCCCTGGCGCTGTATTTCACAGGACCCTCCCCTACCCTGGATGACAGTCTGGGCATCTATTGCTTGGTGATGAAATGCCCCAAACTCAGCAGCTTAAGCCAAAAATGTATTATTATCAACTCTCACTCTGTGGGGTGACTGCGATCAACAGGGTGATTTTTGCTA